GGCCCCGCCCCGCGCCAGCCATCAGGGACGTTACTACTGCTGTTTGCTGTGACCTGATCGTACTGACGCACCTTTCCCAGGTGGAGCCTCCTACCGGCCTCACCTTTCCTGGAAATCATGGTGGACAGTAATTTATAGTTTCACCTACTCTGAAAATTATCTTTTCATTAATTGGTCATAATATTTTTGAAAACTGCCCCAGTCTCCTTCCCAAATGAAGACAGTCACCAATCACTGTGGCACCGTAATGGCCATTAATTAGAAGCTTAGTTCAAAGGACAGTCATTTTTAATGTCAGTATCTTGTTCTAACCTCATACTTCAAAACCATTTTCAAAAATGCATCCGGGCTGGAGACCCTGGCAAGTGAGATGACGTATGCCAGAGTCTGTTCCCTCTTTGACAGATAATTAAACCAAGACACACAGGGGTCAAGCAACTTTCTCAAAGCGCTCATGACCCTTAATTAAAGTGAACGCTCACCGACTTGGATTTGGGTTTTTGCTTTGCATGAACCCACCTGCAGTTTTCCTCTTCTTCCAAACAAAAGCTTTGAACTTAGTGATCTGACCTAAAATTCAAAATAAGTCCCACACACAGACAACTTACCATGCCCATTTCTCTTGTCATGGTGCTCTTATTTCATTTAGAAATGCCACAAATGCATCCAGTTAATGCATTAAATATGAAAAGACTTGCTGAAGAGACTCAATTTATTAATGATTCAGTAGAACTTTCTAAGGCATCTATTTGGAGTTCATTTATAATTCATTTCACAGCTTAGCTGTGGTTCCCACAGGGCAAATATTTATCAGATATTACTCTAAGTCCTCCCTTTACATTTATTTGTGGAAGAAAACTTTTTTTTCCCAAATAAGGGCTAAACTTCCTAAAAACATCCATCAGTCTATTGTAATTTAATGTGCAATTCCTGACAAGGTGACAGTAATGGCTTTCAGATATAACAGAGGACGCTGCACAGCCAGACAAAAGAATAATTATTAAACATAATAGCTGGCTATAAATTGAACAAGATACACACTGAGTACATCATAAATATTTATTAGAGAGTAACCATGGTAATTAATAAACACGGTCATCAACACAAGGGGGAAACAGCATCTTAAAACCTTGCCACTGGAAGAAAAACTTCACAACGCACCCACCAATGGACCACGCACAACCAGATGAGTATTTCCAGTATGAGAATGAGAACATCTTGCTGACTAGCACCAGCAAGGAGAATACCGTGAATCAGGCCGCTGCCTCACTCCCCGACCCTGGCAACTGAGAGGCTCTGGTTCCAACGGCTTAATCCCCAGCTACAGGGTAAGCGTTCAGATGAGAGCGCGCTGGTCTGGAGTTAGAAATATCTCAGCGTGAACCCTGCTCTTGCACAACTAGTGGCAAAGCCTTGGTCAAATTAAGTTCTCCACGTCAACCGTAAAGAAGAAACAACACCCACCTAGAAGAGCTGTTGTAAAACCAGACTGACTGGTGACGCTTCCACGATGCACACAACACCCAGCCACACTGCACACCTGAGACTGATACAGTGCTGTGTGTCCACTATGTCTCAATACAAAGTCATGCTGTAGAGCACAGGGAGCTACGTTCAATTCCTTGTGGTAACTTATGAAAAAGAATACGAAAATGGCTGTATGTGTGTCATGTATGACTGAAGCACTATGCTGCACACCAGAAACTGATGTTACAACAGCGTTGTAAACTGACTGTACTTCAATAAAAACAGATACATACAAAAATAATGAATATCAAAAAATAAAAATTAAAAAGAAATCAAAGAGACGTTGTGAAGATAAAGACGCAGTAAGAGCATACTAACTGGCTGGCTGGAACAGCGCGCACGCTCAGTGCCGGGCCTTCTTACTCTGCCCGCGCTGCGGCCGCCTTCTGAGGCTGCCACCGCCCCACCCACTGCTGTTACTGCTGTGACCACAGCCACCACTCAGCCACCATCACCGCATCCCACTCCTCCTGGCCAACACATCGTGAGCGGTCACGTGTAAGAATTCAGACTTTCAGACCTAAACACATAAGCCCACCAGAATGGCTAGAAGTTTAAAAATAGATAAAATAGACGATAGTGAATGTTAGTGAGGATTTGGAGAAACTGGAACCTTTGCACACTGAATGTAAACTGGTGCAGCCACTTTGGAGAACAATGTTAAACATCAAATTACCACGTGACCCAGCAACTCCACTCCCAGATATAGACCTAAGAGAAATGAAAACACATGTCCACTCAAAAACACACCCAAATGTTCACAGCAGCATTATTTAAAACAGCCAAAAAGCAGAAGCAACTCGAAAGTCTATCAGTGATGGACAAATAAAACATGATACATTCATATGATGGAAAGAAAAAAAAAAGAAAGAGGAAAGAAAAAGGAATAAAGTACTGACACATGCTACAACATGAGTGAAACCTTCAAAACACGATGGTAAGCGAAAGAAGCCAGACACGACAGTCACGTGCTGTCATTCCATGTATACGAAATGTTCAGAACAGGCAAATCCATGGACACAGAAGGCGGATTTCTGGCTAAGTGGAGGTGCAACATGAACAGTGATTCTTAATGTACATGAGCTTTCCTCCTGCGGGATGAAAATGTTATAAATGCAGGTGGTGATGAAGGTCGCACAATCCTGGGAACATATGCAAAACCAGTACATTTTATGGTGCGTGAATTATAGCTCAAAAAAGCTGTTTGTTTATAAAAATAGTCAAGACCACAAGGGCAACTACGGATTTCGGGGAGAGGCAGGAAGGAAGACAGTCAGTCTTTGCTGGTCCCGTGGTGCCCTGCCCGGGAACGCCAGGACCCCGCACACCTCCAGGCAGGACACGCAGTGTGGGCTCAGCGCAGAAGGCTAAAGGAGCCTGGGGGTACTGTGCGCTGGGCTCCTCACCCTGGACATCTGCTCCCCTCCATGAAGTGCAGTGTTCATGACAAAAAGTAGAACATGAGAGCAGAAGTAGGAAGACTTCAAGCTGCAGAGTTGGAAACCTCTGACTGCAAGCCAGGGCTTAAAACCTGGCTCTCCCATGTACTGACTTGTTACCTTGGAACAACTGCTTAACCTCTCTGGGCTTCGGGCCCCTCACCTGTAATGTGGCTGTAACAGCACCTTCTGTCACGCAGCTGCTGTGAGGATGCACTAATGCGTGTAAAGCCCTGCGAAGAGTGTCAGACAGAAGCTGAGTGCTGTCCTCACCGTTAACCACCACCAGGAAGATGGTTCTCCATGTCCGGCAGGCAAACCCAGGCGAGCCGCACAGAGCAGGTGCGCCCGTGGGCATCCCCGGGGTCCCCTCAGGCTCCCTGCTCAGTTCCTCACAGAGCAGCCCTGGGCTGCTTCCGCCCCTCTCCTGGGGACAGCCACTTGCCCGAGGCCCCTGCACAGGCACAGAACACCAAGGCCCCGGGAGGGCAGCGCAGGCTTCTGCACGAATGCCACGACCGTGGGAGCCCGGGAAAGAGTCGGAGAGCAACTAGGAGAGGAGCTGAGGTCGAGGGGAGGGCGCTGTTTGAGCGACGTAACCATCTCACACATTCAAACAGGACGATGCAGAGCACACGCGATGCCACTCACCCCTTCATTCGTTCACACACGTACGAAGCATCTATTACATGCCAGTGATAAAGATCTTCTGTGAAGGACAACGACTTCAAAAGAGAAAACTACAGAAGAGTATGATCAACACACCGAGAAAGGACAGCGGACTGCACTGGGCAAAGGTCGGTGAGTTCAACTCGATGCTCCTGTTATGTGTCTCACAAACCACAGGAAAATCATCTGACGATTGTAATTCTAAACAACGCTGGCTGCACTATTAAGACTGAGCCTTTCCTACAAACGCAGTCATTTCATAATGGAAGTCAAACAAGAATTCGAGGAAACCTGATGCTCATTTTCAATACTGAAATATCACTGAATTTGTAAAGTAATTACGATACCCAAAAGTCATTCCCACAGAAAGTGCCATAAGAGTTAAACAGTGAAAAGCCACAAATAAGAACTCAGGCAATATGCTCAAAATTGAATTTAAAATAAACCATTAACAGCAATATATGTGGGATAAAATACCGACACCATACTACTCCAGGACAGTGTTTAGCACAGCTGCTGTTTTCGTTTCAGGAGAATAAAGGGCGTTGCCAACACTGGGTCTTGATAACTTACCGCCAAGCAAAACACTCACCTCTACGTTTACCGCAATATACGCACTGATTATTCCCTATCAGATCAATCAGAAGTTGTTTTCAAGTGAGGCAAAGAGCAAATAAGATTTCTTTTAAATTATATGAAATTGTATATCAAACTTAAATACATCTTTCCTAATAATGCCTATAAATATCCCTTGACTTCAATCGTTTCATTAAGTTGAAAATAAACTCTGCCTGGGTAGAAAATGATTCCTGAACTGCCATATACTGTGGAAGATTTACTGGATTCCACAGATACTTCCAGCTCTCTGTATAAAAAACTGAAAAGCTTTCATTTACGGATAATTTAATTTCAAAGATGTGTATATTTAAAAAAAAACAGATGTCACAAGGATAGTACACAAATTGTGCATCAAATTTTCACTGCAGAATCTAACCTTTTGTTTGAATAGTAGAGAATAAGGACTTAATTGCTCTAGCTAAGGTGTTTAATGACAACTGTTTCAAGAAAAATCTGACAATACCAACAAAAAGAAGCTTAAAAAAAAAGAACCAAAATTTATAAAGTGTAAGCAGCAAATCTGAACAGGGATGCATTAGAAGCCCTCTGAAAATCAGGTGTGCCTGCAGACTCCCCTTCCACACACACGCCAGCTGGACGGCTCTCTACTGGAGACCCGCAACTGGAAGTGAGGTCTGTCCAAGTCTGACTCTCCTACTGAGACAAGAAACCAGAGCCTCTGAAGTCAGCCTCACAGCAAACGCAGCGAAAATGCCAAGATGATATCGTGCTAATCAGAACGTGTACCTTTATTCTTTGGTCATCGACATCCACAATCGTAGCAACACGGATTAACCTGGGGTTTCGTTTATCCACAACTTCAAGTTTCATATTCGGGAGAAAACCATGGGGCAACCGCTGTAACGTCACGAGAGCAGCCAAGTCAAGAGACATCCAACAATTCAGACGAGCGACTTAAGTTTTCTGAAATGTTACTGTTCCAGTTTTACACCATATCTTTAATACAACTAGAATTTAGTTTTCAGAACACACAGAGCTTCATGCATATTATTTTATCCAGTTTCATAAAAACCTGTAAGAAGAATATTACAGTAATTTTCAAGACAGCTAAAAGATAAAGACAGATTAAATCATAAATTCATTAATGATCACAAGGTTCAAAAAAGGATCTGTCTAGTTTGCCTATTGGTTTAGTTGTTTTTATTTTTTTCTTAATAAACTAAGAAATTATTGACTATTATCACTGCCCCGCTTTGAAGCGCATGACCGAGGAGGCAAAATTAACAAATAATTACAAAGGATAAACATGATCCTTTGTGTCTAAATTTCAAAACACATAAAAGCTGTCATAATTATAATAGATACGCTGTTTTAAAATCATAGCACAATGTAATTTAAAGCCATGACCTGTGTTTTTGTTGCTCCATCTATAACATAAGTATGCTAAACTGTATTGATTTAAGGTTTCTTCCAAGTTTTAAAATGCTGGGAACCAGAAGTCTGGTAAGACGGACGCTCAGGAAACATTTAGGAAGATGCAGTGGGGGGAAGAGGGACTGGGATTTACCCAATCATTGAAACTAAGGAAACTTATCAAATATCAATCAAAAGACAACTATGACGGTGTTTAAGGGGAGGCGAAAAGTCTCACTCTGAGAGCTACTACACACCCAAGTGTTCAGTTGACTTTCTTGAAAATGAAAGTGTACTGACTTTCTCAAGTCTAGAAATGGCAGAAGGAAAATAAAACGTTTGATAGCACATGACTTATAAAACAATCACATCTTTCTCCAGTCCTGAGTCTGTTCCTCTCGGGGTTTTGTGGAAGCATATTTTCTTTCTAAAATTCACTATTATGTCTACTAAATGGGAGGATACTGATCATAATTAGGTCTCTGCTCCTTGAAAATGTTTCTCTTCCCCCCACGGCCACTGTGCTAACAAAAGTTAACTATATCACATTGCAGATGCCAAAGACAGCTTGAGAGGAACTCATAATAACCCTGCGACAGAGCCTGGTGGCGAGGTGCCTTTTAAACTATATCTTTTCACAATTTTATTTTCCTGTAGAATTTTCTTGACATAAAGTAAGAAAGTAAATGAAACCACAAGCAGCCGGCATTTTTGCTCATGGAATGTGCACAATTCTTAAAATTCTCTATAGCACCCTGCAACTTCTAACCCCTCTTCATTTGATGATGCCTAGCCCTCTAAATCCAACCTATTATAACCAACTGTCTTAAAGAACGAAATAGCACTTGTTTTGAACTCCTTCTGATCTTCAGAAAACTTTCAGTAAATGAAGTCACGCTGTAAGTTCTGACGGAAGGTGAGTCAGGGAGCCCGGAGGACACAGAGCCGAAAGGAACCGAGCCTGCAAACCCCTGGTGCAGAACTTAAGTGTCTCCAGCTCTGCTACCAGCCACCTTCTTTTACAAAATAATTTACACTTGGTTTAATCCTGGAATAAATTCGTAAGTGTAAATCTGAACTTTATAAATCGGTGTTCTAACAAACCGCCCACTCAAAATGGGTGAAACGGTAACACACGGGCGCTGCATACAAACCGCCCGTTTTATGATGCCATCACGGGCAGTCTAACGGGCCCGGAGACCCGGAGCTCAGCGCTCCCACTCAGTGGACCAAGAGACCCGGAAACCCAGGGCTCAGTCTTCAGAGGCTGATGGGGTTTCGACAGTACCCCAAGGAGGAAAATCGTCGTCCACATTTGTGTGTAGGAACAGCAGTGAGTCCCCTCCTTTGCGTTTTTAACTAAAAGCAATGAAAATAACTCCTGAATTTAAAAGGAAAAAAACTAAAATAACTTCGAATTGCCAAAGGAAGGCACAATTCCACACAAACGGGCACTGTTTAAAAGTTGGGAGTGCCTACAGATACAAACTTACCATTTTAAAAACTCGGGCAGGAACTGCATAAGTTTGAGTAGCTTCCAGATATTCTGTCCAGGAAAATTTTTCTGGATCAGGATAACCTGAAAAACAACATAAATATCAAAAGATTACTCACTGCTATCTTGATTCCCATACACTAGAAGACATCTGATGATAAAAACCCCCGCTATTAACTGAACGCTCACTGTTTAACAGCCCTTTTAAGAACTTCACACACACTCCCTGACGTAGGTCTACGACAGCCTGAGGGCGGTTTGCCCCGCTAAGACGCGGGCACACTCTCACTGGTTCGTGCACTCCCTCCACAAGGTAAAGCAGGCCGACCAAGGTCGCACGGTGGTGTGAGTGCATGGCAGAGCCAGGTCAAGCCCAGAAGGGCTCGCTGGATGTTTGAAAAAACTCATAATCACTGTCTGACCTCAAATCATGAACTGACAGTCTTTGCAATGACTCTGCATCTATTAGGGTTTTATTCTCATAATCACGTTTGTAGTTACAGTTTCCAAGTCTGCTATTTATCACTGCAATTTAAAAATATGCATTGGTATAACGTGGTATAAAGCACTCTTTATGTTTACAAAATTTCTGTCTAATTGGGTTTCTTGTTTCTCTTTATGCTTGTGTTATTTTATTCCTCATTACATTTGCCAGAGGTGGGCTGTCTATATTGTGTTGTTCTCATTTTCCTTTCAAGAAATGAGTACTCAGATTTATCCATTAGATCTACTGTTTTCTTTTGTCTTTTCTAATTATTTTGTTTGCTGCTTTTATTCTTATCACTTCTTTCCCCATGCTCCCTTAGGTTTGTTTTATACTTGCAAACTGAATTGTAAACATACTTAATTTATTTTCACTTAAAAAATCATATAAGCATTTAAGACTATGAACTTCCCATTGCTGCCCCTGAATACTGCTTTAGCTATTTGGGCAAACTTTTAGGAAATATTTATCTTTCTTATTTTTACCTTCTAAAAGACAATTATAATCTTTCAGTCACCTTGATTAAATCATTGGCCAAATATTTAAGAGATACCCTAAGTGGTTAATTTTTGAAGCTGTTTAAAACATTAATAACAATAGCTAGTTTACTACATGATCATCTCAGAATGTCACATGGTCTGTACAATTCCTGCTTGGGAAACTTTAACTATGATTTCTTTTTGGTGCAACATAGGATGTGTTTAAAAAATTTTTAACTATGTACATACACACAGAGATGTATTTTAAGATCTCACTATGCATTTATTGAATCTAAATAGCTATATTATTCAAAAACCTGTTTATTTTTTATTTAAGCAAAAAGCCTGAAGCAATATGCTAAAATCTCTAAAATAACTTTTTCTGTACAGTTTTTCTCATAATCTTTTCTTCACATTTAAATGTTTTGCCAAAATAAAATGCATTAAAGAAAGATATACAAATCAAGTGGACAGACTGAAAAATTTGCCTACACTTTTCCACATAACCAGGAGGCAGGACACCCCATCCCCAGCCTGCCCCCTTCTGGTCACTGCCACTCTCCTCAAAGGGAGCTGCCTGTCCTGGCTTCTGCAGAGACCAGCTCTTCTCCTTCTGGTCTCTCTCTCTATAAATGGAATCATACAGCACTGGCTCATCTGCGGTCCTCGGCTTCTGCTCAGCATTCTAGCTGTGAGGTTCTTGCAGACCTCTGCGTGTGGACCTTTCATTTTCAGTGCTGCATAGTATTCCGTGAGGGGAGGATGCCACAATCTACCCATTCTACTGGTGATGGTCATTTGAGTAGCTCTGATTTGGGGACTGGTACAGACAGTGTTGTTATGTACATTCTAGCACAGTTTTTGCAGAGACCAGAAGTACACATTTCTGTTGGAATGCATCCAGGAGTAAAACTGCTGGATCTTGAGGTATTTTGTGTCACATGCTGATGTTACAACATTTAGCATATGAAAGCATATGTGACATTCACTATTAATTGCACTTCTTACTTAATATAGAAAAAATTTACCTTTGGGACACATTGATAGCCTCCTGCCTCAAATTCTTTTTACTAAAAGTTAAATGGTATGCCATTCTGCTATTTTCTGTTTATTTATGTTTGTCTGATACAGTTTTACCCAGCTTTTGTACTCCTCTCGGCCTGGCCCTGAGCCCTGTCAGGCTCGGGGCAGAAGCAGAGTAACAGGGGAAGGGACAGGGACAGACCCCCTCACACAGTGGTGGGCCAACACAGCGACAGAAGCTTCCCACAGGTTTAAATTCCTACCTGAAACTACTAATGAGCTTTAACTGCCATCCCCCAGTTTTTAGTCACAGTTTCTTTGCGTATGTTTTCATTGCACTCTGCTCTCTTGTTGGTACCGTGACGAAATGGCTGCCCACTTGAATTCCCACTTTATATATCATTAAATCAAGTGGGCCGCTTCTAGGGTTCACTGAAGGCCACCACGCAGGGTCAGCCCCCTGCAACACCGTAAGAGGAGACCCTTTGTGACTCTGTTGAGTCCCCCCTAAAGACAAGTAATCATACTACGGATGAACATTTTAAATAACTGAACTTCTTGACTTAATTGTTCATCCTACTTTCCCTTAGTACTCTTGAGCAGCCTTAGGTACTCAAACAGAAATAAAAACATTTAAAAAGAGTGGTTGAGTTTAACGAAAAGACAGAAAATTCCTCAACAAAATACTAGCAAACCAAGTGCAGCAACATGTGAGAAAAAAATATATTTATACACACACACATACACAGAATTGTGAGATTAACCCCAGGAAGACAAGACTGGTTCGGCATATGGAAAGCAATATACAATATAATAAAACCATATTAACAGAATAAGGGACCACCCTTTCATGATAAAGCAAACTAGGAATAGAAGAGAACTTTCTCAATCTGATAAAAGGCCCCCACAAAAATCCCACAGTAAACGTCATGTCTAATGTGGAAAGACTGAGCATTCCCTAAGGTCAGGAACAAGAAAAGGATGTTCAGTCCTGTTCTGTCCCACAATGCACGCGAAGCGCTATCCAGAGGACTTCGGGGAGAAAGAAAAGATGCGCAGCCTGAAGAGAAGAAGTAGAAGTATCTCTACTTAGAGATGACAGAATCTTGCACATAGAAAACCCTAAGGAACACACTCGTTAGAGCTAATAAATGCATTCAGAACATAAGATCATTGTACAAAAATCAACTGTATTCCTACATAACAGCAGTGAATAACCCGAAGATGAAAGTAAGAAAACAGTTCCATTTACAGCACAAAAAAGAACAGACCAGACAAAGACATGATGAGAAAACTACAGACCAATTTCCCTTACGAATACAGATACAAAACCCCACAATGCAACAGTAGCAAACCGAACTCAACAGCTCACTGAGTGAAACAAAGGGAAAAATACTCCCAGATGATCTTCTCAATAGATTGAGAAAAAGCACTGGACAAAGTCCAACACTCTTTCACAATAAGAACATTCAGAAAACTAGGAGTAAAGGGGAGCTTTCTCAACATGATACAGGGAACTTATGAAAACCATACAGCCAACATCATACTCAATAATGGGAGACTGAAACCTTTCCACCATAATATTAGGAAAAAGACAAGAATGCCCACTTTTACCACTACATTCAACATAGTACTGGAAATCCTAGCCAGAACAAGAGGCAAGAAACAAGGTTAAAGGCTTGGTATCTATTAGCTAATGTAACGTGACAAGAAAAGGAAATAAAAGGTATACTGACTGGGAAGAAAAGAAAGAAAACTTTGATAAATAACTTGTGGTATATCCATACAACGGGATAGTATTCAGTCATAAAAAGGAATGAACTATGTATACCTGCTACAGCTTGGGTGAACCTCTAAAACTTAACAGTAAGTGAAAGAAGCCAGGCACAAAAGATCACATATTGCATGATTCTTTTAACATAATATATCCAGAACAGGCAAATCTCCAGCATAGGCAAATCCATGGAAAGCAGATTAGAGGTTACCAGGGATTGGTGTCAGGGAGTGGGTGGTGGGTATACTTAATAAGTGTAGGATGTTTTCATGGAGTGACAAGAAAGTTTTTGAAATTAAAGAGAACTGGTGGCTGCAGAACATGAACACACTACCATTGAACTGTCACTTTAAAATGGTTCATTGTATGTTATATGAATTGCAATTCAATTAAAAAAAGACTAGAATACTTAGGAACAAATTTAATAATGAGCAAGACTTGCAGACTGAAAACCGTAAGATATTTAAAAATTAAAGAAGACCTAAATAAATGGAAGGATGTCCTGTGTTCTCGGGCTAGAAAACTTAGTATTTTTAAGATGGCAACACTCCCAACGTTGAGCTACAGATCAATCCCTATCAAAGTCCGAGCTGGCTTTTTTAGAGGAAGGGCAGAAATTGTCAAGCTAACTCTAAAATTCATAGGGAAACGCAAGTGCCTTAGAGCAGCCAAAGCAATCTTGAAAAGAACAGATTGCAGAGTGAGAGGCTCATAACTTATATTTTCAAAATTTACTCCAGAGTTACAGTAATCAACGTAGTGGCATTAGATTCTGGCATTAGGGCAGACGTACAGACCTATCGGATAGAACTGTCAGTCCAGAAATAAATTCATACACCTGCAGACAACTTATTTTCGACGGATCTGCCAAGACCAATCAATGGGTAAAGAGCAGTCTTCTGTGACAGGTCTCTGTGACCTTAGATGAAGGAACACTTCCTTAGATACCAAAAGCACAACAGAAAACAGATAAACTGGACATCACCAAAATTAAAACCTTCTGTGCTTTAAAAGAAACAATCAAGAAAGTAGAAAAGACAACAGGATTTCACATCTGACAAAGAACCCTTATCACACAATTAGTAAAAAAGACAACCCAATTTTTAAAAGGGCAAAGAATTTGAAACAGCTATTTCTTAAAAGAAGATACACAAAAGGCCAATAACCACATGAAAAAAAAATTTTTTAAACAGTAAAATTCCAGAATTATTCCAATTAAAAGGTTAAACACCTGCTCCATGCCAGAATGGCATATTCCTTAGTCTACATTTCTTCCTGTGCACTAAGCTGGCTCGGTGAAGGGGCCTGGCAATCTGGCCTCTCCCTATGAAATTCTCACTTCTTAGGTCTCCACGTTTCTTACATTTAACTCCAAAGTTAAGTGAATTTAATAATCTCATGGCCAATTACTGAATTAACTATAAGTTACAAGGTAAGTTACATGGGTGGAAATGGCTGGATTTACAGGTCAGTTCACAGTGACTGCACTCATTTCACCAGATAAAAGAAAAATAAGCAATTTTTTAAAGTGGGTGCCTAATGTCTTTAAAAACACAGTCCATTTTCATTATGGGGAAGGATGTGCAGATTTCAGACATCTGGGTCATCTGGTGGTCAACAGAATCTTGCACAATATCTTGATCAGATACTTTGTACTGCAACGTGGTTTGCACCAACAAGAGTAAGACCAGGCATCGCCAATCCCAGAGACAGCTTCAAAGAAGACCCAGCCAGGCCACTCACCTTGAGGGGCTACCAGAGTTCTCCCATTCTCCCGACACCAACCAACTGGCTGGATGTAAGGACTATTTACATCACACCTGCAAAAACAGGATTCTCTTTTAGATCCCAAATTAACTCCAGAGAAAGAATCCAACAGTAATGATCATTCTGGATATTAAAAGATGCCATGGAAAAATATTACTTTGGAGCTAAAATATTTTATAGCTCGAGAGAATGAGAAGTCATTTTAGTACTTTATTTTGTAAGCTGAGGGGCCAAACTTCTCTTTTACGTAAGCTTCATGAAATTTAAAAGGAATTTTATAAAGAGTGTTTGACTAGGGCCTGAACTGCCAGCGGTCTCCCCAAAGAGTGCACATTTTAATGAGCCCCGTCTACCACTTCTTGCCGGCGGCAAGGGAAAATATTAACAGGCCAGTCCAGATTTTAACAGGACAGACCAGATTCCATCTGCCGACAGTTTCCTCCCTCTCCTTTTCCAGGACCCCAGACGATTCTCCCGAAGACATGTACAGCACTTCATCGACGCCCTGCTTCTTGGTTCAGAGAAGAAAACAGCCCCCGCCTCGCCTCGCACGGGAAGACCCACAGCCCTGGCCGGACCTGCCCATTATTCAGGACCTGCTCTCCAGAAGTGCCACAAAAATTACTTTCGCCACGCCCTCATCTGTATTTCAGGTTTTTCACCCAGAAAGCCCTTTAAAAGCATGCAATGTTAGCTCAATGGCATTATAAGCACACATTTTCTCTGCTCTCCACAGGTTTTCGAACAATTCACTCCATTCTCCCTGAATCTTCCTTTCTTAAAAATATGCCAGTCTGAGTTTCACATTTTTCAGGGAAAAAAAATACTGCAAGTTGTTAACTTCCTCCTCCCTTACAAACCACCCACAGCAGAGTGAAGGGCCCAGGGCGGGACACACTGTCTCGGATGAGGCCTTGTTAGGTGACCTCGCAGAGAGCGGCTCCCGAGGGAGTGCGGCCGGGCAGGTCAGCCGCCGGAGTCCTGCCGGTCGTTGCTAGGAGGACCGCGGCTCCTAACACCAAACACGCGCGCGGAAGGAAGGCGCACAGGGCCGTCTCACCAGTAACTGTGACTGTCATCCCAGCTGTCAAAATGCACCAGCAAGCGGTCTTCAGCAACATCTGCGATGGTCGCCACGCACACCAAGGAGGGGTTCCTCCTGTCTACGGCCTCCAGCTTCATCCCAACCTCAAGGTCTTTAGGCGCCGGACCGCTCTAACACAGCACCGGGGGGAGGCACCAAGAGAACCAGGGCTGAGCCACGGGCACAACGTCTGTGACGTTCATTCAGCATCAGGAAGGTCTGCAGGGGAGCAACACTCACCCCGCAGAACAAAGCCGGCCGGGAAAATACTCCAACAGACCGGCACCAAGTGTACGTTCATTCAACAAAAAAGAAAAACACTTTGTGCTTTTTCTCTTTTGTCCTGCAGGCAGGTTTCATTTTCCTTATCACTGTCATTTTTCCCTCTTCATGTCTTAAGAGTATTAAGAGTCATTTGTATGAGTTTTAAAATACTGCGCTGACTGAATACAGTGGTAGCAGATCACTTTCTCTGCTCCCTGCAGGCTTTTGATATGTGGTATATTTTCAAATACCACTATTTGGAAAACTAGCAAAGACATGCTCTTCAGCACTAAAATTATCATTTACTTTGACCAGAGCTGAAATTAGCGGCTTTCTAAATATTTCTGAAAAACACATGCACTAATCCATGAATAAATCATAGTCAAAAAAACCAAATGGTTGTTTTAGTGCCCACACGTTGTTTTTAGCATTTAAGAATGCCAAGGACTATGATTTACAGTTACATTAAAGTGATAAAACCCTACGCCTCGTACAGCTGTAATTAGCCAGTCCTGGACTTAGAAAGCACACGTGCAGTATCTGGGGGCTGGAAGGGGGCCTTCCTACTTCTTTACTGTCTCTGCTGACCCTGACTTTTGTGTTCCTTTAGCACATTACATTTTTAAAAGCATTTTCACATTTCCATAACTCTCTTTCCTTAATATAATTCTATGAAACCCGTTGAACAGTTTGTGTAACATTGATTTCAAGAGCAGGACACTGAAGCCTGGAGAAGTGGGGGACTGTCCTAAACACGGACACAGCCAGCAGGCGGCAAAGCCCCCACCCTGGTGCGTGGCCCCACGGGGCCCAGAGAGGCCGGGCTGCGACCTCCTCTCTTCTCTCCTGTTAGATGCTGAGACACGGATCCTCATACACCCCTGAATCTGTCGGAAAGGTCACCCTCATGTTCATCATACACAAATACCACTGGACCAGGTACATTCAAAGTTTACCTGGGGTGTCAACTGGTCTCAAAACACCAAAACTCAGCTTAAACAACTAACTCACTAGCTGCAAAAAGAAAACATTCTAAAAGGCATTTTAAATTATAGCAGGCTTTAAATGTAAAGTTTTTTCCTCCCTCCATCTCATTAAAGTACTTAATTGTATGTTTAAAGGGGGAAAAAAGTTCATAGGAAACTGACAAATTCAGTGAGAAAAGTCACAGGAAGCTAAGGATTCTTAAAAGATTAAAATACAAGAGAATATACAGGGAATTATTTAAAATTTAAGCTGAAGTAAACATCTGACTAATACCAAGGAAGAAAATACTTACAGAACTTCTGTTTCTGAATAATCTCTTGGGAGCATTTTGCAATTTGCAGGCCTTCAAGTAATCCACCCAACCGAATTTATCTTTTCTATAACCTAAAAAAAATACTGATTACTCAAAATACCCCCAAGATGTAACCACATGAATAATAAACATATTATTCTTATTCGATCTTCTGCCATAAATTCGATGTCCTTTAGCAGACACAAAAGACTCAAATTAAAATCTCTAAACTGTTTCAATGTTTTGAATGTATGGAATTGAAACCACTGAGAGTAATTTCCCGCCGGGCATGTCATTCCCGACAAATGTTAAAAGCCATTCAAATGCAGCACCAGTGCCCAGGTAGCCTGAGGGGATCCTTGCCTCCCGTTAAGGCTTTGGACAGAGGGAAGGGACAATAGTCCCTACGGCCCTCATTCCCCTCAAAGAAGCTGTGTCACTGAGACCAGCGTGGGCCCTGGTGGTGACCAGGGAGCCAGACACTGGGGACAGAACGAGCCATGGGCCATGTGGCAACTCCAGCTCCGTGTCCTGCCAGGCTCCGCAGGACAGAACGCCTCACCCTCCCACCCACGTGCCCACGGCTCGGATGGGGCTGGCCCACATCAACGGGCTCGAGAAACATTCCCGATGGAGTGTCCCACTCAGAACACCGCCTTCAAGGCCACAGTGGCACCTCTAACTTCCCCTCCTATCTGCCCGCCCTGGCCTCTGCTCCGCCACCCTCAACTCCCTGTGGTCTGCCCAGCACCCGTCAGATGTCCTGTCTCAGGCCTCTTTCAGCGCCCTTCCTGCTGGCGCAGCCCTGGGACCCCGCTCAGTCCTCCAGCCCTATCGCTGTAGACGCTGGCAGCTGTGTCTCCTCCCCGTCTCTGCAACAGATGCTCCATGAGGACAGATTCGGTTTACTGAATGCACAGCTCTACCCACAGTGCCTGCACACGGTTAGGACTCCCTACTGAGTGATCCAGCCCGTGGCCTCTCACCAGCCTCCGTGAAACCCAGTGATCTCAGGGGATCTCAAAGGACCCCCCACTCCCCGACCTAGTTACTAAGAATAAAATGACTATATACTGACTCCAGAAGCTGCCACGGTCACCCGGGAGCCTGATATCCAAGCAGGAGACCTTATACAAAGGTTTGCTGGACAAGGAAACCGGCCCACTGGCCTCAGTATGCCGCCGACCATCCCTGCGACCAGCACACAGCAAGTAAGAAGGGACTCAATCCCATCTGCCAGACCCCGGTTCCTCTTGTGCAAAATAAAAGACAAAGATGAGATTTTAATTCCCATCAAAAGAAAATGGCGACATTTTCTCTTCGATAGCTCCCTGTTCTCCATGATTCCTCTTCAAAAAAATTGTACATGTGAACCAAGCTTCCTCACTGTACAGCATTACTGATTCAGTGAAAAACATTATTTCAACTGTAATTTAAACATTAGTTTCTTCATTCCTTATACAGTTTAATAAACTTTATATGTAAAATAAAATCTCTCATAAGATTTTAATTTTTCTCTATGTAACCTGAGAATATTTGACCTCAACAGTCATCGATGCTTTTCTTTTAAAGATATTTATTCATTTCTAAAAATGGAATCCTTGCAGTCTTAATGCTTTTTGTGGATCACACTTTCATCTTGAAAATCAATTCACACCAGGCTCTCGTGTCAGTATCTTATAAAACATTGTTCAGATGAAACTGTCTTCCCATCCCGGCTCACCCTTAGGGATGTGTAATTCGTGCTTGGTCTTTTCACACCAGCCTACTGGATGGATGTCAGGGGAACCAGCGTTGATCCAAAAATCATAGCAGCTTAAATAACCATCAAAATGAAGCCTTAGACGGTAACCACATACCTGCAAAATGGTGTGTATGCATTTGTTCAGTAAGAGTCATGCATTTGAAGTATACACAAAGTCAACAAAACGTTCATTTATTCTGTCAACACCATCAATGTAGATGAGCCAATCCCTCCATCCAAATGTGCTTGTATTAGAGAACAAATTTATAGATGATCTGGATAACACAAAATGTTGACAAAATAGACACTATCTTTCAAGAAGCGAGAATTTTTCTGCAGAAAAATTATTCATTTTCTCAGCCTAGGCATCTGAGGACAATTAACATATCCATTCACCAACAAGTTTATTTACTCGTTCAATACCTATCAAACATTTCTTTCAGAAACGCCATCTCCTGCTGTCTGGCTTAGACTCATGTCCCAAGGCCATGGAAGCTAAAGTACAGAGCAAAACCAAACTGGGCATGGCTTTATTTCAAAAACATGAATCCAGTATACGCAGTAAAGAAAATAATAAAGCAGTCTGAGAAACGTATCTCCTACACATGCTATACACGTTTAATAGCTACGATCAGTGAATTAAGTGAACAGATTTTCTATGTTTGATGGTATTAAAATATAGAGGGATTTTACCAACTTAATATAAAATGTTTGGTAAATATTACATTTTATAAGCCATTTACTTCCATCAATGGCTCTTCATGCTATATAATTTTCATAAAATTCATGTATTTCTATAAATACGTAACTCCTACGCATAGATATTTTTCATATACATTCCCATTAGCAGCTTAAACTTGAATAATTATGTCTCCTTTAACAGACAAAAGCAACATTGTGGGATTCCCGGGTTTTTATCAATCTCAGGTGAAAACTATTTACCAATTAAATCAAGAATAACTGCTTGTGATGAGGGACTTAGAAAATTAATCTTCAGAGAAGGAAAAAAATCATTAAAGAACATATTTCACCCATCACTGAATAAAATAAATCCATAATGTAATGGAACTTGTTTACAACACAAAGCACTCAAATTCATCATTCTCTGGAAAATTCTCTTCTGTCACTGTGCAGTTAGCCCAACAATTACACCATGTCTTACCTCAGCTACAGAAAGCACACAAAACACAGATGGATGTCGGGGGTCAACACCTTCTAATCTCATTCCAACCTGAAAGCCATTTTCATGCTCCGGGAAGGACTGGTCCTGTGAAATTCCACGATACAGTATGAGTCACTAAAACACCTTCACAATTTGATATTAAAACACTTGGTGCGGCCGTGCACAAAATCATACTAGCCTGGAAGCCCAGTAATCCAGCTAAAGACAGAAGGCTGCTCTTACATATCTGGCCCTCTAAGACGGCTTGGTCAGTTGTATGCGCTTTGAAATAGTTCACCTGCCAAACTCTGTATGTGAACTCCCCGTTTATTCCTCTTGCCCGTTTTTCCTTAATGATCTGAAGCTCCTCCTGCACTCTGGGAACAATCCTGTGTTGACTTGAATGATTACTTGGCTCTTCACTTTGTTTATGATGACTTCCTTGTGGAGAATTTTATTTTAATGTAACAAAATACATCAATTATTTCCTCTACAGGCTGCACGTCTAGCCTATGAAATCCCTTGCAGCCCTGAAGTTACATGGATAGTCTCCCTAGGGTTATTTTAAAGATTTTCTTCTTCATATTTAAACCTACTATACAACTGGAATTTTTTTTTTATGGTGTGAGGTAGGGCTCTATTTTTTCATATGGAAAACAAATCGTTCAACAAAACTTTTTTGAATAGTCTGTACTTTCACTGACCTGCAGTGTCGTCTGTTACGGCATGTTTCTACTGTCTGTGGGTCTATTTGTGGCCTTTTTTATTCTATTTATTGGCATATTTGCCTATATCACATTGTGTTAGCTGCTGATAACGAGTCTATCTGGAGAGCAATCTATATCATACTGAGATTTTAAATTCTGGAACTTGTTCTCTCTGAATTTACTCTAATCGTTTGGTCTGGTTTTTTTTAATTTTCATGTAGACGTCGTAACATTTATTTCTGTGTACTTTGTATGTTTATTGCTATTATAAATGGAATCTACTTAACAGACTTCCTCATTTATTCCCATTATTATTTTCTTTAATATTGGTCTTGTTTCCCATAGGCTTGCTGTATTATTACTAATTTTGAGATGATTCAGCATTACCAGTCAATTTATTTTTAACTGAGAATAAATTTCTAAGTATACTAATGGAGAATGGGAAGATCTAGTACAGTTAGATCTAGAGCTGCTCTTTAATCACTAGTTGTATTAATATTTATGACTGCTTATCATACGGATGCCTATTTTTAGGGTAAAATTTATTCTTTTGGAAAAAATCTCTATCTGGAAACATCAAACTTAGAGAAAAGCTGCAAGAACAAAACAGTACAGACTACACATACAGCCTTTGCCCAGATTTATTTCCCGTTAACACTCCACCCCATTTGCTTTATCATTTCTGTTGGCCCTCAGGTGTCTCCGTGTGTACAGGTACGGATGTACAGACATACACATATATGTACAGGGGATGTTTTTATCCTTTGAGGGCTCTTAACCCCTAAATACTAGTTTTTTCTCTAAGAGTAGTTTATTTTCCCCAAGAATAAGAATGTTCTCTTAGCAACAGCTCAGTTATCAACTTCTCTAAATTTAACACTTATACAGTATTTTTAATTCATCTTCCATTCATATTCCAATTTTTCCAACAATGCACTTTATAACACATTCCCCCTCCAGAGCAGGATTCAGTTTAAGGTCAGATATTCAATGTAATAGGCCTGTCTCTTTAGTCTCCCTTAATCTGGAACATCTTCCATTGCATTTCTTTATCTTTTATAACACTGACGTTTTCAAAGAACACACTCTTTTCCCTCTTCTATTTTTCAAAATAGAAAGTTCCTCATTTTGGATTTGCCTGATGTTTCCCCGTGATCAGATTCAGGACATGCATTTTTGGCCAGCACGCTACATGGGTGATGACGGGTCCTTCTCAGGACAGCACATCTGCAACCACAGATGGCAGCGTGTCCACTGGTGATGTTCATTTCAATCACAAATTAGTGTTCTCCAATTCCTTCACTACAGTTACATACAAAGCACACACAAACACTTATATATATGTACATATGTGCACATATATCCATAAATAAGTCCAAACAGATACATCTAACTCCAGTCCATCCCCCAAGGGCTTGCTCTTTTTCACTCTGTATTGGTCCTTGTCCTGTAACAAGCTTGGCACCCTTACTCATTCATATCCTAAATCCTGTGGCACATCTACTGCACGTTCAGACCTCTTTTACCTGTGCTGTAAGAAACAAGCCCACAAAAAGAGCTCAGGATTTGTCTGCAATTTTCTCTCCCTGCTCTGCCATCCAAGAATGGGGTCCTCAGTTAAAAACTCTGCTCATAATCAACGTGGATCCATTCTTTTTTTTCTCTTCAGAGCAGCCTTAGTAGTCACTTGAGATACGACTCAGTTCATTGGTTCCTATTTTCTTTCAGTTCTTAATAATTTATTGTGATTTTTAATATGCAGACTATGAACCTGCTTTCAAAAGTCAAAGCTACATGCAAAGGTACTCAAGGAAGGATCTCGCCCTCCATACCTTACCCGCCCCATTCGACCTCTGACAGGTAACCAACCTTGCTCTTTTCTGGTTTATCCTATCCGGCTTTCTTCTTGAAAAAATTAGCAATTATGCTAATGCTTTTTCTCACCTTTCCTTCCTTTTTACACTACAGACTGCGTTGCACTTGGCTTTTTTCACTTCCTAGTGTCTCCTGGAAACCAGTCAAAGTCAGGTCACAGTCAGGTCACAGCGACCGTCCACACCCTCCTTACAGCCGCCCTGCCCTCCACTGTGTGTAGGAACATAGTTCATTCAACCTTCTTCCAGACTTGGGTGCCTGCCTTTTTTTAGAAGAACATAAATTGTTTTCACATCTTTATGAATTGGCTTGTAAAATATCGTTAAAAACTTTCTTTCACAGATCATTTCAGATGCTTCCAAGAAAAAACTTAGAAGATGACAAAAACCAAAAAAACTGAAATGGCAAGAATAAATGATTTCTCGGGAATATTTTATTTCTACAAAAATAAATGTCATGTGTGTATTTAACTCTCCCAGCCTTCTTCTCACTTCTGCTCTGTTTCCCAGCAGATTGTATTTAACAAGTTTTCTGTGACTACCTCCTGCTTGCTGCTCTGAAATTCCTCGGTTAACTTCAAAAGCATCACACTCATACACACATATCCAGACGCACACACACAACACGGAAAAGAAAAGGCAAAGGGGAAGAGACCGGGAGACTGGGGAGAAGATGTTAATGATGCTGAAAGGAAATTAAGAAGCTACAGTAAATTAAAGAACATTTTTCATGTTTTAACAAAACTGAAAGATGTAAAACTGGGGATGGGGAGGAACCAGTGTTATACTGAGCAGTATTGTATCCACTTACACACATGAATGGTAAATTCAAGACCCTGGTAATGCATCACAGTCGACAGCTAGGATACAACATCGTTCTTGCCAGCATTTCACATGGTTTCTCAACCGAACATTTGGGAGCTTTATGTAACACTGCGAGGAATGCTATAGGACTAAAGCAGCCACAGCATCCTTGGGAGAGTTTCAAGTAAAACCCAAAAAAACAGCCATGTTAGCAATCGGAAAGGCAGCATCTAGCGAGAAGTATCACTGCCTTTCATCAACCTCTTTTCTGTGTAATGGTTTAATCATAGCAGATAAAGATTCTTTCCCTTTCTAAAAAATCTTACATTTTATGAACATGAATGTTGATAGTTCTCCTTATAAAATCATATTTTAGGATGAAAAAAGGGGCCTAGAATCACACACTTAAAGACAAACAATAGCCCATTAAATTCAGTCATAGAAAGTCATAAGGGTTGTGGACCTGAAACACACTTTTACAGATAAACTCAAGCCCAGAGAGGTTCAGAGACTTTCAAGGTCACACCAGTTTAGTGGCAGAGCACAGCCAAGACTTGGGGCTCCCGAAAGCCTGCCAACCGTCTCTCCCACGAAGGGGACGGAAGCAGCAACGATATGGGAAACCGCACTGGGCTCGAGGCCGAGAGGCCTCAAGGACACTTCCACGGAAGTGCCTGCGCCACACGCTCTTGGGTACAGAAGTTCAGTTGTTTTGTTTTCTCACAACAGTTGCGAAATAACGGTTTCTAGGACGAAAGTGATGAATGTGCCACAGTGATGGAGAAGAAGGATTATCCAAAGTTGCAGACCTCATGTCAAGAGCAGGTACAGATGACATACGAGTCTTTAAAAATAAAATGAGTCAGAGCATTAGGAAAAAAACAAAAAAAATGAAACATCGTGTCTAGAGTAAAGAAGACAGGCCAGTGACAAAACTCCTTTAAGAAATGTAATGCATCCGGGCACTCGTTTTGACAGGTGTGTGCCAGCAGGTTTTTGCTCCTTCGGGTGACAAAGTCACAAGTGTGCAGCAGGAACAACCCTCAGGGAGCTGGTAGACACATGTGAGAAAATCCGGGCTAAATTTTACTGTTTATCGCTGAGAACCCCATTCAAGAGCAGAGAGATTATCTTGTACTGATGGCTCTGAGCTGCTACGCAGACTGCAAAAGGGCAGCGGCCACCACACCAGCAGAGCATTAACGAAACCGTGTGCGCAGAAGAGCGCCCACACGCCAAGGCTCCCCCCTACTTTACTCGGGGCCAGAGCTGGCAGCCAACCACACTTCCCTGATCTTAATTCATTAGTTAAAAGAAGTGGGGGAAACCGGGTAGGCAATGGAATCACAGCCACTGAGGCCAGGGCCACAGGCTTATGGTTTCCCCATCTTCACATGAAGGCAGTCAAAGGGAGAGGTTCCCGGGAATTTTATATGCAGATGATAAAAACAAAATTTCTTATAACTCCAAAGATCACTGCCATGAGCTCAGCATCCTTCTTAAATGGTTTATCTCAGCAACATCTTCAAAATCTCAAATCATCTCACTATGTATCTCCAGGGCTGAAATGTTACAATTTTCAATGAAAGAGGGGAGCGATCAGGAAATCTTATGCAGGCAAACTGTAATATAAACAGCGTGACTGCAGAGAATTTAACTTTTTCTCTACGCTTGATGATTTTCTTTAGTCAATGGGGAAAAAAATCAGTTGTGTTATTGG